TGCTGACCTCAGACTTTCCCTGCAAGCACAGCGCCTGAGAGTGAATGGATTAAAATGAGCCTATTTCAACAAACTCCTGAGTCCATATTTATTGATCAGTCTTGGGCTTTTCTGAACTGCACCTTTTTTCTTGAACAGGCTCACGGCACACGCAACATGAAACATGGCTTTAAACAACAGCTACCGATTTCACAAAACACAGAGTAGTAGTACCGGCCCTTCTGAGGTCGGTGGATGACCAAAAAGGTGCGGGTCATGTAAGGGAAGGCTCAAATTGCCCATGTCCTTAGCTCTTAGGAGGATCAGTAGGAGTCCATTTAAGAGTCTGGACAATCCCTAAGAATGGAGGCCCCTGGGTTTGAGCTTCCAGAAAGTGATGTGTTGGGTGGGTTAAATCTTTTCATGAGAAGGAAAGGCAGGTCAGAATAGAAATAGACCTCAGCTACCACAGCCTTCTCTCCTCACCTTCCAAACTCCCTTCCTAAGGAAGAGAGGCAAATGTCAAGTGCTCCATCGTGGTCCAATTCTGCATGAGGGTAAGAAGGAAATCCTAAAGAGCCCTGATTTGTCCTTGTTCGTCAACTGGGGAAATGGCTTGTTTTACATTCAAATGCATAGACTTTGGAGTTTGTTGGCGTTCAACCATTCCTTTCTCAACACCTAGAGAGAGATGTCTTTCCGATATTAGGACCGGGGGGGATCTGCATCCCTGGGTAGCAAATGGTTTGTTTTCATTTCACACACGCTGTGCCTCTGGAATCTGATCACATTTCTCTCCTACTTTGTCTCTTAACGAGACAAAAAGTTTGGAACAGGGTCTCAAACTCATCATGATTTGGGGAAAGCCCTCTCTTTCTAAATCTTCTCCACTCATCTCCGATACGTCAAATTTGTCCTTTTCATACGAACCCATTTCTCAAGTCCCTGTTTCAAAATTTTCCAGGTGTCAACACGATGACCAAAGAGCATTATAAACTGTTCATCCTTTCAGGTTGTGTACTGCATAATTCTGAGAAACACTGTTCAAATAGACTCCAGTGTAACCACAGTATGAATGGTGCCCTCTAGAGTTGTGCAGTGCATAACCTGTACAACCATTCATGGGTGCTCAGGGAGAAGACAGTTTCCTTCAGAGGATCCATTTTGGTTTTGGATGGGAGATACTTACCTTTCACAGTCCGGGATTGTTCAAGGACAATGGCCCCAAATAATTTGGAACATGACTTAGCAATGGCCACCTATACTTTTCTCCTTTGGCGATTTCCGTTTGAAACTTAGTGTAAACAGCTGAGAGAAAGTTCTAAATATAGAGTGGCACCATTGTATGTATTCCAACAGAGCCCAGTCTCTCTTCATTCATCCAGTTAAGGTCTTAGAAGAGTGTATGGCACCGCGCTTGTTGGGGCGACCTTGTAGTGTCAATCACCATATTTTCCCCACTCACCTATGTCTGGCCCTCGTGGAGATGCCAGGAGTCAAATGCCGTTTCCACTCAGCTCCCCCTACACAGATTCCCATGTCAGAAAATTCCTTCTGCAATTGCTGAGCTCTTCTCCTACTTTTTCCTAAGCACTACCCTCATTGTTCATAATAAGAAAGAAAGACAGACCTCTTCGAGGAGTCATATCTCCCACTCCCTGGTTAATAGAATGCATGCCATGTTCCCAACACCAAACATGAGTTGGTCCCAAGGTCATTCACTCATACAGTCCTGGAGCTTCTTCTAGAACTTTCCATACTTAGTAAGCCAGAAAAGCGTCCTTCTTATTCATATCCCCAGAAAGCATCTCATTCATCTGTTTTGAGGATTCTTTCCTGCCCACACGAGACTAATAACCTCTATCCTCCCAACACAGGAGGATAACACATGTAGGAGCAAGTGGTAATTTAGCAGCAAAACGTTGATATTACACAGATGCCTGAGGTGAGCAGATTTAAGTATCGGGATTTAAAAGTAGATATGTACGCAGCAGGCGTCTTAGAGAGGGGAGCCCTGAAACTTTCATGTTTCGCAGGAGCTACAATGATGTCAGCTGCGTTTTTCTTCTCCATCTGCATAGGTTTGGGGTTGAAGGATACAGGTAAATAGACTCAAATCGAGTAAGTGACTGTCTAGTTTCAGAAAATGTAGAAATCCCAGCTGCATGATGTAGATGTTGCAGCACTGAAGGCAGCATTCAGTTAGAGTTTGGGGTCTGTGACCCCATTTCCTCGCAGTAAAACTGAGACCCCTGCATCAGTGGAGGAGCTGAAATGAGGGAAAGTATATGAAATCAGCATGTGGGACACTTTCAGGCAGAAGGACATTCTTCTGGGATGTGTGCAGCTAAACTACTTGGGACATGTCCATTAGTTTCGGCATAAGGTGCTCCCCAGGGATTCAAGATGGCCGGAGAGCGCCGTTAACAATTAGTGGCTATGGAAACACAGGATGAAAACAGAATCTACTTTTTCTTTGTAATCTAACCAAGCATAAAGCGCTATGGCCCTGTGGGGTGCTATTACCTTTTTCCATTTCCACGTCCTCAAGAAACTGATTTAGGAGCACCTGGGTGGCTCAGCCAGTTGAGTGTCCAGCTCAGGTCATGATCTCACAGTTCATGAGTTCGAGCCCACATCGAGCTTGCTACTGTCAGCACAGAGCCTGCTTAGGATTCTCTGTCTCCTTCTCTCTCTGCCCCTCCCCTGCTTGGACGCACTCTCTCTCTCTTTTTTTTTTTTTTTTTAAATTTTTTTAATGTTTTATTTATTTCTAGGACAGATAGAGAGAGAGAGACAGCGTGAGCAGGGGAGGGTCAGAGAGAGAGGGAGTCACAGACCGAAACAGGCTCCAGGCTCCGAGCCGGCAGTCAGCACAGAGCCCGACGCGGGGCTCGAACCCACGAACCGCGAGATCATGACCTAAGCGAAAGTCGGACGCTCAACCGACTAAGCCACCCAGGCGCCCCTCTCTCTCTCTCAAAAACAAATAAACGTTAAAAGAAATGAAAATACATTTAAAAAAAAAACTGGTTTAAAAGATTTTTCAAGAAAAGAGAAAAAGAAAGAAAAAGGGAACCCCTTTGCAGGATGTGGCTAAGAGTGATCTCTGTGCTGGTCTGGTTTTCAGCTCCTTTCGTGTTGACCAAGCTCTGACAACCCTTCCCAGGGCTATTCTTGGCCCTGCCTGTCTGGGCTCAGGCACCACGTGCTAAGATCAAAGCTTCTGCTGCCAGCCTAGGCTCCGTGTGTGCACAGATACCATCTTTATCAATTGGATTTTGAAGGAGGGTTGCCACCTCCAATATGCCCTGCTAAACACCACGTGCTGCTAATTACTCGTCCCAGGAAAAGCCCTCTCTGCATCAGACGGTGCTATGGCCGCACCGTCTCGCAGGCTGCTCTATACGTCCTGTGTCCTGACTCTGCTTTCTAAGAACAGGCACTACCATTACGTGCAAATCCATGTGGCTTCCTGGGATCCTCACTTACGTGTCACAACGGTATGGAATGGCCCTGCCATCACCCCATCTTCAACAGGCTCTGTGAGACATGGAGGAGAGACCGACAGGTCCAGGTCAGAGCTGGGACTTGCACCCCAGAGGCTGAGGACAGCTCCTGCCTTCTTCTTAATCACATTCTCTTGATCATGGTACTGGCTTGTGGTCCTGGAAAGAGCCCCAGCCTAGACCTTTATGTCAGATAAGTGACTTATTTTATAAAGTTTGAATTGAAAACAGACCCTCCATTTGGAATGCATGTGGGTGCCAAGAATTTCCTGTGTAACTCTTGAGACTTTTGCTGGCTATGGGGCGCCTGGGTGACTCAGTTGGTTAAGTGGCCAACTTTGGCTCAGGTCATGATCTCATGGTTCATGAGTTCGAGCCCCATGTCAGGCTGTGCTGACAGCTCAGAGCCTGGAGCCTGCTTCGGATTCTGTGTCTCCCTCTCTATGCTCCTTCCCTATAGTGCTCTCGCTCTCTCTCTCTCAAAATAATAAATAAACATTAAAAAATTTTAAAGAGACTTTTGCTGGTTCAACTCCTCCTACGCAGAAGGCATGGATGCCACACACTCCCCAGCACAGAGCCTGGCATCCAGAAAGAACTCTAAGTAAGGTCTAGTTCTTTTTCTCTTTGCTCTCATTTGCCAGGGAGGAGAATGTTGTGTTCTGTGCAGTGTATATCTAAGCACCTTATTGTATCTGTTCTAAGGCTTTTGGCTCATATCAGGTGTCTGATTAATATTAATGGAGATGACGATGACGGTGACCATGATGATGACAATGGTGACAATAGCCTGGATAGTAATGCTGAGTCATTTTTGCTCAGCCCTCTGACAGATGAGACTGCCGTCTGAGGTCCATGCCAGGACACCACGCACGGAAACATTACATGTCTCCCGGAGGCCTGGCGTGCCACAGCAGCGTGCCTCCCGCACGGCCCAGCTCGGCGAGTTGACAACGAGACATCTGTTCATGTGAACTTCTAAATATCAAGGTTGATGCCAAACATGAGCATCTCTGGAGCTCTGCGTCGTACTTGTGTCAGAGGGCAACATCCGGCAGTCAAGGTCAGGCAACAAAGCGTTTGCAAGAACGTGTACTCCCCACAGAGCTGGGGGCACCGTGGAGCGCTTCCTCCCTGCCAAAGCCACTGTCATGTTTATGAACATATTCAGAGAGGACCGTGTTTTTCTCTGGCTGAGTTCAGCTCAGAATGAGTGAGCCGGTCTGAGAAGACACAGTGGGTCCCAATGTATTTTTGAAACTCTCTTTCAAACCCACCTGAATCTTGAGTTTTAGGAAATCCATTTCCTAAATGGGAAGGGAGGGAATTTGCATCTGTGTTCTGAGATAAACCAGGAAGCTGGGAAAGGTTGCTCATAAGGCTGCTACTCACCCCATCCTGGTCTGGGCTCCTTACTTGACCTGTTCTTAGTGTTTGTTCTAAGTTCCGAGGTTCTTAGTGTCACAAACTAGAGCAGTAACCAGACAAGGCAGTCTTCCTTTTACCCTAGGACCTGGGACACGTCCTCAAACCCAAGGAGTCACGTAGGATACATTCTGCCTCCAGCATGCCAACATGATCTACAGAAGCAAGATGGTTTGGAAACAATTCAAAATTTCTTATTTAACTTCAGAAGGTATTTAGACATAAGTCTCCTCAGCATGATAGTCTGGTGTGAAATTAAAACCATGTATTTACTTTAATTTATTTATTTTTAAGGTTTATTTATTTATTTTGAGAGAGAGAAAGAGTACAAGCGGGGGAGGGCCAGAGAGAGGGGAAAGAGAGAGAATCCCAAGCAGGCTCTGCACTGACAGCACAGAGCCCGAACTCACGAACCATGAGATCATGACTTGAGCCAAAACCAAGAGTCAGATGCTTAAGTGACTGAGTCCTACCTGGGTGCCCCTAAAACCATATATTTTAAAATGAACGGAAAAAATAGTGCTAGCACATTATAATGATTATCTATGGCGGTTAATATTAATAAGTTATACCTCACAAAGACCCACGCTGAAGTCAGAGGTCTGTACCACGTTATATTCATGATGTTTCCATAATATTCATTCCACATTTCAATATATTACAGAAAACATACATTTTTTTTCCCTGAATTATAGCTCTGGAGTTCTCAGACTGCTTCGAAGCCTGGTTTATAAATACCAGCTTTTGGTGATGCAGCTTCTTTATTAAAGACCTTACAAAAGATGCTAACCTACACAGCGATTTCTACCAGTAGAAGAAAAGGAAGCATAAATTAATCACATACCAAGCGAAAAACTCAATGGTGCTTTAAAAGGAGTGCAGCTGAATTAACTCGGGACAGTGAAGCCAACTCTATTTTGAAAAATTAAGAGGTAGTGGGCAAAATGTTTATGTCTTTTCTTCTTTTCATTTGATGTGATTTCGATTAAAAGATTGAGAATAAATGTTGATGAGCCGGACAGAAGCAAAGGTGGCCAGGCTCGGGTGTCCTTCATTCCTGCAACTGATTATGTGACATATGTCAGAGCAGTGCCCTTGTTAGGCTTGCCACTACCTCTACGAGACGGCACATAAATCCCCCACTTATTATTATTATTTTTTTTTTAGAAAAACAAGCCTTCCATTGACCCATGAAGTCTTAGAAAGAAAAATAAAAGCATATCCTTGGCTTGAGTTCCATGAGTAGTAATTCCAGTGGGGATGCACTGCTCATTGGCATTTTCCTGTTGTTTTAGTTCTGTTATTTTAATAATTATTTTAATCCTTAAAAGTATTTTTTCAATTTTCACTCATTTTTGATCAGCAGAGCATGAGCAGGGGAGGGGCAGAGAGAAGGAGACACAGAATCTGAAGCAGGCTCCAGGCTCTGAGTCCCATGTGGGGTTAGCACAGAGCCCCATGTGGGGTCCGAACCCAAGCACTTGGAGATCGTGACCTGAGCTGAAGCTGGATGTTTAACTGACTGAGCCGCCTAGGCACCCTTAATAAAAGCTTTTCTCAATTAGGGCAAGAGTTCTGATTTTTAAAGGAATTGCCCAGCCTCTGTTTTTTTTTTTTTTTTCTTTTCAGGAGAGAGACACAGGAGAAATGGTTAGGAAACTTTGGTGCCTGCTGCCTGCTTTTGATAATCTTGATTACTTTTGGAGTAGTTGTCCTTCGTGTACTTTTCCATCTTCGAACCCTGCCAGGAGGACATGGGATGGTGATGAAGCCTGAGGCTCGGGAGTCAGACGGACAAAGGTCACAGCGGGGCTCAGATCTTACTAGCTCTGCGACCCCAGGGAGGGAGGCCAGTATTAGCACTCACCCCACAGGACCGGATGAAAACGGAACAGTGGAAAGGTCAATGCATTTTGTAGGGTAGACAATTTGATTGTAAGCAAAAACAAAGTCTGTCCCCTGCTGAGTGTGGAGCCTGACACGGGGCTCGATCCCACAATCTGGGATTACGACCTGAGCTGCAGTTGAGTTGGATGCTCAACTGACTGAGCCACCCATTGCGAATATGTATCTCTAATATTTTGCTTTCATTCTTAGCTTGCTGCACATTTTCATCATGGATGGGTACCGGATTTTATGAAATGCTTTTCAGCATGACTTAAAAGGATCACATGAACTTCCTCCTTTAATTCATTAATTTCAGTCAATTACATTATTATTTTTGCCCAGTGTTTGCTTTCCTAGAATAAACCCAACTTGGTCACAAAGAAAAATGACTTGATCACTCTTTTAATATGCCATTAAATTCAACCAGTTAATAGTTTATTTAGGGTTTTAGCATCTACGTTCAAGTAAGAGGATCATTAAGTATGAGGTCAGCTAGTAGTACATCGGGTGCAACAATTAGTGATGGTCACGCAAAAGGTTAATGGGTCCAAGAAGAAATATCTAAAGGTTAAATGAATTTCTCATGCTAAGAAGACATGGACTCAATGTGCTGCTGTCTAGAATCACCAGGGGAACTCCAGGCATCCTTTGGAGGAATCTTCATGGAATTTTCTGTGCATGTTGCTGCGGGTCAGGTCCAGAGAAGATCCAAAATGATTCAAGGGTTAAGGAATTGTCCTATGAATGAAGCAGATGAAAAGTTATGTCTCAGCCTGGAAATTCAACAAGAGATGAGTGAAGATATCATTTTTGAAAATGCTGTAGACAAACATGGACAGCTTCAACATGACTTTAGATATTGGATTGTGGTGGGGTGGGGCCAGATTTGCTGCAGGTGGATCTAGGGGAACTGGGATAGATCGTAGGTCTTTAACTTATTATAGGGATTCTCAAACTGGACTTCCAGGACTTCCCAAAGCCCTTTTGGGGGAGACTACAGTTCCAGAAGTAATATGTAAAGTTTAGGTGTTGCACATTTTCCTGGGGTCAGATTCTCTAGCTTTCATTAAAAAGCCAAGTGTCCCTGACTTACTCATTGCTGGACTTAGCTGTGTGACTTCAGTTGTCCGAGCTTCTTCTGGCTGCCCTCTCTATAAAGTGGGAATGATCAGTCCTAATTACTTCAAACGCTAGATGTGGATTCAAATCATAAAACATCAAACCTAAGTGTATATGCACAGAAGGAATTGTTTTAAGAATAAATAAATATGGTAGGCAATAAAATCATACAGACCATTTGCCTTAAAAGCAAGCTTATGAAAACATTCAACAAATATTTAGATAAATGGAGGCATCCAAGTGCAGAAGAGTAGGATTCGTTCACAAAATCTATGCGTGTGCGCACATATTCTTTCTCCCCCAAGCCCTGCTATTATTGCTACAAAAGAAAGTGTACTGGGCTGGATTAGCCTTATCCACCAAGCATAGTGTTATGCTAATGCAAACATTTCAGCAAGATTTCCTGATTTGTTAATAGCTAAATAAATGTACAGCCTTCCTTTAGTGGAACACATAAAGAAGCTGCTGGAATTGTAGCAAGGGAAAGATCAAAAAAGAATTTACTTTTTTTACATTTATTTTATTCATTTTGAGAGGCAGAGAGAGTGAGGGAGAGACAGAGAGAAAGAAGGAGAGAGAAAATCCCAAGCAGGCTCCATACTGCTAGCACGGAGCCTGATGTGGGGCTCCATCTCATGAACCACGAGATTATGACCTGTGTCGAAATCAAGAGTCAGATGCTTAACCTACTGAACCATCCAGGTGTCCCAATAAAAGAAGAATTTAAATAGCAATCTCCCTTGATCTGGCTTTCATATGCTTCATCTTTTCCATTTGATCCACGTGGATTGGTTGCTCGAGGCTTTTTTTTTTAACTCAGAACCCTCACATTTTGAAGGATGAGCTTTGTTTCTTATCTAACTTTTGGGTTTCCTATTGGAGCATATGAAGACTAGATCGTTCCACCCTGTGACTTGAAGATGTCAAATACAGTGGTGGTTGTGAGCATAACAGGTTTCCCAACTGAACTCAATTACAAAGGTCTGAACAATCAAAGGGAATCAAGGTAATGGCGATAATGTCTACTACTTTTTACAATCTTACTTTGCAATTCTCCACATGAAATTCCATTTTATGAAATGGCTTCAACTCAGCTTCCCAAATAAAATTGACCATATATGTGTCCGAGAATCATTTTCAACTACTAGGGGCCAAGATTTTGTCCCATGTGATTGTATGACTGAACAATGGTGATGTAGAGCCTATGAAAAATTCTAAATGCAGTGAATATTGAGGCTTAAAGCAGAAGAAATCACTTATACTACAAGACAAATTATGGAATCAAAAAGAATAAGCTAATGAGATATCAAGCCAATGGAAGCATTATATTAGAAAGTAGGGGTGTATACCAGTAAGAATGGCTAAAATTAACAATGCAGACAACGAGGATGCAGAAAAAAGGGAACCCTTTTGCACGGCTGCTGGGAACGCAAACTGGTGCAGCCGCTCTGGAAAACAGTATGGAGGTTCCTCAAAAAATTAAAAATAAAGCTACCCTATGACCCAGCAATTGCAGTACTAGGTATTTGTCCAAGGGGTACAGGTGTGCTATTTCAAAGGGGCACATGCACCTCAGTGGTTATAGCGGCACTATTGACAATAGCCAAGGTATGGAAAGAGCCCAAATGTCCATTGACAGATGAATGGATAAAGAAGCTGTGTATATAATATTTACATATATATATGTATACACACACACTCATACACAATGAAGAATTACTCTGCAATCAAAAAGAATGAAATTTTTCCATTTGCAAGTACATGTATAGAACTAGAGGGTGTTATGCTAAGCGAAATTAGGCAGTCAGAGAAAGACAAATATCGTATGAGTGAGATCATATGATACAATGGGTAATTTAAGATACAAAACAGATGCACATAAGGGAAGGGAAGCAAAAATAATATAAAAACAAGGAGGAGGCCAACACATAAAAGACTCCTAATACAGAGAACAAACTTAATACAGAGAACAAAATACAGTTGCTGGAAGGGAGGTGGCGGGGGATGGGCTAAGTAGGGGATGGGCACTAAGGAGGGCACTTGCTGGGATGAGCACTGGCTGTTATACATAAGGGATGAATCACTGAATCTATTCCTGAAATCATTTTGGCACTATATGCTAACTAACTTGTATGTAAATTAAAAAAATAAGTATACAAATTTAAAAAAAGAAAGTAAGGGTGTACAAACCACAAAAGCAATTAGCATTGCATTACTCTAAGGAGAAAAGACAAATTTCCGAAAAGGGGAAGTCTATGATCTTTGTGTGCTTGAGTTATGAGTGTGTGTGTGTGTGTGTGTGTGTGTGTGTGTGTGTGTAAAGAGACAGAAGCTATAACATTAATGTCTGTTGAATGCTTTCTAAGTGCCATGCACTAACCTGAAGTTTTTTTATACACATGCACTTCATTCAATCTTCCATTATTGCCCTCATTTTATAGAAAAGAAAACTGAGACATTAAAGAGAGATTTCATTGTCCACATGTTTCCCCAAGTGCAGGACCAACACTTGAAAGTCAAGGTAGTTTGACTCCCAGCATTACATTCTAAGACATGTTTGTATGCAAATCTTTGGAGTACAGAATCAGATGTCCCGAAAAAAAGGTTTATGTGACTCACAGATGCCAGTTAACTGCAAATGGGAACTTTCAGACTAGAAACCATAGACAAAGATGAGTCGTGGTCTGTTTTCTTGAAATTGAGCCCTCTGTCTTCAGGGAACTGAGTTCCTAGGTCCTTTCTTGCTCTTGTTTCCGGATGAGTGGATAAGTCAGCAAAGACTTCACTATAGTGAAGTTATGAAAAAATATAGAGTCAGACCCGAGGCACGAACGGCTGAAGAGTTGCCTGATCTGCTGGAATGTCCCCTCATTCAGAGATATTTGTGCCTACGTGACAGAAAGCCATCTGAATTATGATGGCCATGCCTGCGAGATGTTCAAGCACAAAAGTCACATGTCCTAAGGCCCCATTTGAAAAGGACATTTGCATCATGTCTAACAAAATGCTGCTTGGAAAATGTGTACATAAAAATGTGACTTGAACCCGTAGCTAAGTGAGAGTACAGATAAGTTTTTTTTTTTTTTCTGTTAAGTTCTATTTTTCTTTTCTAAAATTTAGGAAATGCATGTAACAAAACTGGTAATTTCAAAAACCAATCAAACAAATAGGAGGGGTCTGCTCTGGGTGAGACATTTTGCTAAGAAATTCAAGACGCAGCTGGTGAACTTCAGAGACTACACCATGTTGGTCTTACTCACCGCTGTTGGCCCGCTGTCCTAGACTGGTACAGACTGAGGCCCCATCAGGATTTGTTTAATAAATAAATGGAGAGAGACTCATCCACAACTGAAAAATTCATATTGTATAGGTGCTGTGATAGAATGATGCACAGCTTAGGGTCCAGAGCCAGATGCAAGGAGGGGAAAACTCCCTGGTGCATGGGTGGGGTTGAGTGTCATGAACTAGAGACTCTGTCCAGAATATGATGCCTGAACTGCATCTCATAGTAAGAGGTAAGGGGGTAGGAGGGCATGATGCCCAGAGGGTGAGGAGGAAGCCAGAGAGAGGAAGACCACCATGATCAAAGGAAGCCGGATATTAACAGCCATGTGCTGGCTGGCTCAGCGTTGATAGAAATAGCAAATGGAGGAGAGAAAGAGAGAGCGAGAACATTGCAGGGAAATGAAGCTTCTAGAATAGCAGGAAAAGTCAACATTGATTTTTTGCAAATGTAAAGCCCAAGGATTACATGCAAAACAAGTTAAGACCATGAAATGA